TCAACAACGCCCTTCATCAGGTTTCTGTCAGGTATCCTGATGCTGACTTGACTGGTTTGGATCCTGCTTATGATGTGGAGGATGGCAAGATTTTATCATCAACCAAATATACTCTCAGTAAAATTGGCCAAAATTTCCGATAATTTTTTGTAACATTCCCAGGAAAATAATATTCCAACTATATTCCTAGTAATCGTGATTCCCGGGTAAAAAATAAAAATAAAAACTCCTATACCAAACACCCCCTTAGTTAAACATCCGCAAATTAATATATTTTACGGAAGAAGATAAAATGGTAAAAAAAATTTAAAATAAGGACAAAATAATCAATCAACCCATTCTACGCTGTGATGTCTAATTTTATTTGATGAGATATCTACTTTCCGTATCCCTTGCATCTACTTGTCTAATTCAGAAGTACTAAAGGATCTCTCTAAAGTCGCTGGAGATGGATGGGTGAAAAGGGATAATTCAAATAAACGAATAGATAATTCAATGTTCAGAATCAGATCCCTTGATAAGTGTCCAAGACACTATGTTTTTATGGTTAAAAAGAGTTCAAATAATAATTAATGTTTCAGGTTTAAAGTAACAAATCACCAATTCTAAGGGATAAAGGTAGTTTGCAAAGGATAAAGATCAAGAAAAATAAAGAATTAATCAATATTAATTCTTGTTCAGCGAGCTAATCCAAATATTAAAAAGCCCAGTTTATTCTTTAAAAGAACACTTTAGGGCTTGTTCTATACATTCGGAAGACGAGGCAGAGGAGCACAACAGCGGAGGAACAATCAAAACTTCACTGTGGAGATCGGGTTTTATTTTCCTTTTTATGAGTTTTAGTTTCTTTTCATCTATTGTTCTTGTTTTCCTGACTATGTCAAGCTAATTTTCTTTAAGTAGTTAGGGCTAGACGAAACTAATGGGTTCTTGAACGTTGTTTGCCTTTTCTTATGATTTATATTCTTGATTTTAAGTTATGAAATTAATCTGTTTAAAATTCCTAGACTTGTTTATGACCTGGCCAATCTTGAATGAGCATTAAAGTTGTACATGACAATAAGAATGTTGGTGTACCGATTCCGATTGATTGATTGCTGGAATTTGTATGATCTAGGGATAGACTTATGAATTCTATAATCGTAGGTTCTTGCGTTAATGCTTAATTTATGAAGAAGTACTAAGGGATTAGGCTTTGGAGTGAAATAAAGGATTAGATTACCATGGGATTGAGATTTGATCAAATATAGAAAAAACTGTTAATAACTTGATCTTGAATATAATCATAGGAATAGGTAGATTTGTTAGGAAACTATTGGGAAAGTCGAGTCCTAGCTATGCATTTTTATTAAAACTTAAACTCAATTTCTAGATTTATTAATTCTGAATTTATTTTCTAAAATATTAAAAACTAAAAATAAGTTTACAAATTCTGTTTTTAATTTAATTACAATATTCTCAAGAAATCCTTTTATGATTGATCTAACTTTAGCTAAATAGATAAATTATTGCTTGTTCATCAGTCCTCTTAGGATCGACAACTTTTCTTATCACTTTATTACTTGTACGACCGGTGCACTTGCCGAGTTCGTCAACATCCCTCACCTTCATACAGAAGGAACCCAACACATCCTTCATCAATTTCTATACACAAACACAATGCACGTTGGCTCAATGAAATTAAGCAAGACCCGCTCTATGAACCCTAAGGAATAAGCATGTCTGAATTTGATAGTCTCATATTTGGGATTTATAGAATTATATGGATTATTTTCAGTTACTCTTCCTCCGGTCACCTTTAATTTTGAAGATATTTTGTTTAGGGATAGGTAAAATAAGTGAGGTTTTTTAATTGATGGTCGTATGTGTTTTTCGTTCGATTTTCTCATTATTTTTTGTCTTGGTCGCAGAGGAAGAGAGAAAGGGGAGGAGAGAGAAAGGGTATGGAGGAAGTTAGGAGGAAGAAAGGGGAAAAAAGATTTTATTTTATATCGCAAATATCGACCGTTGCTACCCATTTTAATATCGTTCGATTACAATCTCATCCAATGGTGGAGAGTTGCGGAATAAAATAAACCTTTTCCCCCTTTCTTTCTCCTCACTGCCTCCCACACTTTTTCTCTCTCCTCCCCTTTCTCTCTATCGATTTGCGTAATTTACAACCTGAATTTATATTTGTATCTAAATCTATGCAATGATCAATGGCATGATAGTTCTGCTGGATGAGTATAATTTTCAAAATTTCTTGAATATGATATAATTGAACATGACATAAATCACAAAAATACAAAAAAATGAAAACCACGAATAATCCCTTCATTTGAATTAATACATGATTAACATAACGTTTCTTCTTTGTTGTTGAAATTTAAAATCAAATCAACTTATCTCCTTCTTCTTATCTTGTTTTTCACTTTCAAGTGAGGAAATGATCTCTGTTCTCTCTATGTTACGCCCAATATGGCATCTGGGTTTGTTTGTTCTTGACACCCAATTTCAATTTTTTATGTAAATGCTCATAAAAATGGCTGGGTTAGATGAAATAAGAAAAAAGCTTGCACCTTTTTTTGATGCCGAAGCGCCATTAAAGAGAGAGAAAGGGGAGGAGAGATAAAGGGTGAGAGACATTGGGAAAGAGAAAGGGATAAAAGAGTGTCGGTGCAACATAGCTTACCAGCATTATCTAGGGATTATGAGGTCATATGAAAATAATTTGGCATGATATAGAACAGTATACATGCAACTATAGTCAGCAACCCAACATCAAACTGTGTGTACTGCACAAGCCTCACATCACACCGCTTCACTTTAGGCACAATATTGGCACGCCTATAACCCTCAATAATAGTGTGACGCTCCCCGTCATAAGGCATAAAACCCACAATGACATTGAAATCATAACCCAACAACTTGGTCCACATCTTATAAGTTACCTACAATGCCAATGCCTCAAATAATAATAAACGTGAGGTCTCCATTAAAGTACCTCAAGTTTTAGTAGAAGGCTTTCACCATGACCTATGAATACATGCATGATATCTCCACAAGCACTCTCAAGTGTGCGCGATAAAGAACATGAACAATGTCGAAGCCCTCCGTTATAAAAAATGTTGAATCTAAAGATTTGGCTCCACTATGTTTTAGGGAAGATACTCTGATATGAACTGACTTGTCTCAGTTTGATCATTCTAGAACAAATATCTATATGACATGTCCAAAGGGTCAGGATGAACAAACGTAGACAATGAAGACCCATTGTGGCGGTTCTTGGGACACCTCTCCAAGCAGGTCGCTTACGTGGTCATCTATCAACCATACGGAATGAATAGAAAACTGTAAAAATAATCCAAATTGAGTAATTTTTTTAACAAAAACATAAATCCATAAGAAAGCAACCAGCAAAATTAGATTTGGGTTAAAATTTGGATTTGGAAATTTTGCCCAAATACCCACCGAAAATCAGCCACAAACCAGATGAAAAATCAAAGATTGATGATTAAGAACACCTTTGTTGATCTAGGAAGTTTTTGGAGATTAGGGGATAATCTTAGGGTTTTAGAATGAAGAGAGAGAAAGGTTATATGACCTCTTACTCGAGCTAAATGGGGTTTTATAAATATAGCCCCCTAAATGAGTTACTTGAGTAATAAAGTCTTTCACCCGAGTAAATGTCAATCCATTAGTTAAACACCACAAAATAAGGACAAAATAATCAATCAACGCATTCTACAGTGTGGTGTCTAATTTTATTTGAAGAGATATCTACTTGTGGAGAGAAAATTTAGAGCTCTCGGCCCTTTGGTCCGCAAGAGAGAAAAAAGTAGAGAGAGAAGAGAGAAGAGAGAGGGAGAAGAAAAAGAAAAAAAGAGACCAGGGAATAAATTTCCCTACTACTTGTGTCTCATCCCTTTCATCTTTTCTAATTTCAAAAAAAAAAAAAATATATATATATATATATAAGGTTTTATTAATCTCATGTTACAGGAGATAAATTATCTCATGTCATAGAAATAAATTTGTTGGCTCCACCATCTAAAAAATAAAAAGAAAAGAAAAGAAAAAGGTGACACAGTTATCGAAGAGTGTGTAGGAGAGAAAGTTATCACATGTAGCATAAGAGTAATTTTTTTCATATATATATATATATTGAAGATTTTAGATTTCTTATCAAAAAATAACAAAACTAATTTTAAAAAAATTATTTATTTATATTTTTACGTTTTAAAATTACTTTAATTCAAATATCCAGCATACTTTTTTAAAAGAAAAAAAAATACTGGAATAAATATCTAAAAATATGACATCCTGTTTTATAGGGTGCAGCGTGCCGCTGGCCATTGCCATAGATATTTTGTGAGTCTTCGCGTGAATGAAGCAAGGTAGCACATGTAATACAACAATCGCGGGAGAAGTTTGAAATTTGCAGCACCCACAAAGTTGTGATATGGGGCCACTGAAGAAGAAAACAAAAAACAAAAAACAAAAACAATAGGCACGGATTTCCATCTGAAAGTGACATGAGAAGATGACTTTGCAACAACATCACAACTATTTGGTGGTATAACAAATGGGTTTTATAATTACGAGGGAGAATTGAAATCTGATTATGTAGAGATAAAAAGGATAGGATATTGATATGTTAGAAAAAATTATGTGTTAGAAAAAATTATAAGTAAGATGTATGTCAGCACGAAAATTGAAGGGTGTGTAGAAAAATTGTAAACTCGTGTTAAATGACAATTATAAAATTCATAACAAATATGGGTTTAGCTTTTCTTATGTTGTAGGATTGTAGGAGAGTAAAAAAGTAGAGAGAAGTTAAATGTGGGTCCCATATTTTATATTTAAAAAGAAAAGAAAAATTATTTGGCACGGAAAACAAATTTGTGTAGGAAAATGAGAGTATCTCATGTGACATGAGAGTATTATTTCCCAACAAATATATATATATATATATATATATATATATGGTTGATTGTCGACAAACACAGCTGAAAGCATGAGCAGTATGGGGTTGATGTTGAAGGTGTTTGCTTTGACAACAGTGTTAGTATCGGTGCTCCCTTCTGCTTATACCTTCACCAGATATGACTTCCCTTCTGACTTTGTGTTTGGTGCATCAACCTCAGCTTATCAGGTTCTTTCTTCTCTTCATGTTTCTTCCTTTTCATCTGAGAATCAGTTCACTCTATATTAGTCTTTTGATTTTGAAAGGTTGAAGGTGCTGCAAATGAAGATGGCAGGAAACCAAGCATATGGGATACCTTCGCCCATGCTGGAAATGGTACTGTACTCTACTCACACATATATAATATACTTCATTTCTTAATGATTTTTTTATTTTTATTTAGTTTAATGTTATCCTTTTATTAAAAAATTTAATACTTCAAATATATTTTCAGGGAATAAATACGAAGGTGATGGAGATGTAGCATGCGATCAATATCATAAATATAAGGTCTGTGACTGTGAGTGTGGAGTATATATATAGACAACCAAAAAAAAATTACTAAATACTTTGCACTAAGTACATACCAAACCCTGATTTCGTGCAGGAAGATGTCCAACTCATGGCCAACATGGGTTTAGATGCCTATAGATTTTCCATATCATGGTCAAGACTTATTCCGGGTAACATCACCAAAATTTTGTTTATGAGAGATTCTTAAATCAATGCCTAAAGTTATCTGTATTTGACACAGTTGATTACTGTTATGACTAGTGACTACTTGTTTTCTTCTATTACCAGATGGAAAAGGACAAGTTAATCCCAAGGGATTGCAGTATTACAACAACCTTATCAATGAACTGATAAGCCATGGTTCTTCTCAAGACTTGATTTTCCTTATAAAATTTGATTAACACCTAAGAGAGGTTCTTCCAAGTTATATGCTGATATATAATTGTTTATGTTAATGTTTCCTCACCTTGTAGGAATTCAAGCACATGTTACATTACATCATTGGGACCTACCACAAACACTTGAGGATGAATATGGAGGATGGGTTAGTCGAAGAATTGTGTATGGTTCCCAAATTCCAAGTCTCTAATTGTATTGCCATCTTGTGCAAGACAAAGAACATGCCAAGTGCACCTGGAAAAGAACTGAGAAATGGTTTTATTGTCTTTATATGAATGCTTGTAGGAAAGACTTCACAACATATGCGGATGTGTGCTTCAGAGAATTTGGTGACAGAGTTAAGTATTGGACCACAGTCAATGAGGCCAATGTGTATGCAATGGGAGGCTATGGTTCAGGAGACTTACCACCTCAGAGGTGTTTACCTTCGGATAAAGCTAACTGCAGCAGGGGAAATTACTCAACTGAGCCTTATTTGGCAGCCCATCATATGTTGTTAGCACATGCATCAGCTGTTAGATTGTACAGGAAGAAATACCAGGTAAAATAATGTATGACGCTTTCACCGCCTTCTGTTTTCACTTTGGTAACATAATTATGCAGGATAGCATTACAGTTGCTCATGATGATATCATTTTGAATGATGATAGTCATTATTTAATTTGTTCAGGAAAACAATCTATGTTAAATGCAGGACAAGCAGCATGGCTTTATTGGGTTTAATCTACTTACTTTTGGCCTTGTTCCTCGAGCAAATACTAGTGAAGATATAAGTGCCACTCAAAGGGCCAAAGATTTCCTAATTGGGTGGTAAGTAATAATCTTGTAATGGTATCTCTCTCTAATGTCTATTATTGACAATACCCTATTTGGCATTATCAGGATTGCAAAAGACCGAGTCTACAAAAAGTTTAAACTTTTAAGTGAAGATTCAGGATTTTTATATCTCTAATATGTCCTCACATACAAGAGGACATTGAGCTTAAACCATGAATAATAAACATGCCACATTACCATGAAAGTATATTATAATATGAAGAATGTGTTAACAATGATTAAACTCTTGCCACTTTATTTTTTAATTCCATTGATGAATGTTGCACCAAAGGATATAGTCACAAAAATCTAATACTGTTCTTATTCAATCAAATAACTGGCATTGCTTTCAGTGCCATTAGTATTTGCTACTGTTGATTTCTCTATGATTTGTTATTGCAGGTTTCTAAATCCCTTCACTTTTGGAGATTACCCTGATATAATGAAAAAGAATGCTGGCTCAAGGCTTCCTTCCTTCACCCAAAAGGAATCAAATCTGGTCAAGGGCTCAATAGACTTCTTAGGAATAAACTTTTACCACACGTATTATGTTAAGAACAGTCCTGGCAGCCTGCAGATGGAAGATAGAGATTACCATACAGATATGGCAGCGGAACTTGAAAGTATGTTATTATACTTTTCCTGCAGTTTTGATTACATTATGGTTGAGAATTCAAGTGTGAGGGATGAAAACTCACATTGGTTAGGAATGAACTAATCGAGAACCATATAAGTGGAAGGATCCGTGAATCCAATGCTTTAAAGTTTGTTGAAACCTGTCACTTGTTGTTGCTTGAAATTCACGCACTTCATTTTCTTTTCTTACTTCTAATTTGAGGATCTGAGACAGCTAATTAATGTAATGCTCTTTCTGGTCATAGGACTTGCTCAAAAGGATGCACCTACATATGAGGTAAGAGCAGAATAGGAAACATGGTGCTGTTAATCTTTTTGTTTTGTTATGTTATTCATTTTTTTTTCAACTAACAAGCTGGCTGGATTAGATCCCAATTACAACCTGGAGTTTGCAAGGGGTGCTAGACTCATTGAAGGATGTTTATGGAAATTTTCCAATTTACATACACGAAAATGGTATGGCTCAGTCTCTTGTCTCCCTCAAAAAATTATATAACATGATCTATGTATCTGCCTATAATCATCATTTCAAAATCAACAAATTCAACATTCTATTATCTAGTTGCATAGTAAGTTTTTGAGCTTTTCAGGACAACAAACACTTCGAAATTCATCATTGGTTGACTGGTCAAGGGTGAAGTACTTGCATGAATATATTAGGAGCATGCTTGATGCACTAAGGTACTATGTCTTAACATGATACCTCTTCATTTCATTCACAGTAGTTATCAATTGTTTACTGAATGTTAGTTGATTCTTTTTTTGGTTTCTTTTTATTCTTGACACATTGAAAGGAGTGGATCGAATGTAAAAGGTTATTTTGCATGGTCCTTCTTGGATGCATTCGAGTTATTGACTGGATATGAAACAAGTTATGGCCTATACTACATAGATGTGAAAGATCCAAGCTTGAGGAGGCAACCTAAGCTTTCTGCTGAATGGTACTCAAATTTTCTGAATGGGAGGTCTATGGACCCAAAGGTCACCAAGGAAATTGAGAACAATGCACTTGTGCTATCACACACTCCCTTACTGCATAATGCTGCTTAAAGTGATATAGATTATAGACAAGTAAAAATAATTTCGGATACTCTTGGGGTGACAATTTTCTACTTTGTGTTAGCATGTGCAGAATAAAATGACTGTCTATTGGACTATTATGAATTAAAAACTGTTGGAGAGAATATCTTTAGGATATCTTTATTATTTATAGAGATCTATTTCCTTATTTTATTAGGATTATGTTAGGTCTGAGCTAAGCTCATTTGTATTTCTTTATATATTGTACTCTTATGAATTAATTCAATATACAGATTTATTTCAATGTTTCTCTCGTCTCTTATTATTTTACTAAACCCATGTTAAGACGGCACCAATGATGTGTTGACACAAAATATATAAATGAATTGCAGTTTTAGTAGCATTACATAGAAAGATATATCTATTGAATATATGGTGTCTTTATGTATACGAATAGAACACATAGAAAGATATTGATTGATTGACGGATTGTACATAAATACAAAATAGATCATTCACATAGGTAATAGTGAGCTTTGTGTATGGATTGATATTTTGAATTCATTATAGTTTCGTTTCGTTCTGGACGATGTCATGCGACAAATTTCATAGGCCCAATCCATTAAGGTCTTGGTCCCACTTCATGAAGCAACTTAAATCGCCAAAGAACACTTTAGTCAAATGATTATGTGTTCAATCTTCAACTATTGCGCCGCACTTGTTGGACATGTGACATGTGACATGTGACATATTGGGTTTTAACCAATATTGTTGTTTAATGAGTATGTTGGGTTTCTTATTTAAGGGCATGATTATTAGAAATATAAGTGTTTAATGACTAATTAAATTTTATATCAATTAGAAATGAACTAAGTAAGGAACATATAATTAAAAGGATTCATAAATTTAAAATCATAATGTTTTGGGTTAAAATGTTGGGTTTCTTACGTTGCCATTCATATGATTAATTTCATTAATTTTAATTTTTTTAAATCAAATTGTATATTTTTTATTTAATACTTATTAATTTTAATTTTTCAAACAGAATTTTTTAAGCATGAGAAATGATATCTTATAAATTATTAATATATAATGACTTTTCATTGAGGTTAAATTTACATGAAAAGATTCTGGCCCCTGCTTGTGCTTATTCTTTGCTGTGCCGCCCAATTTTATTTGATGAGATATCTACTTGTGTCTCATCCCTTTCATATTTTATATTATTATTTTTCCAAAAAAAATATTATATATTTTCCTAAGATTTTAGTTTTTTTTTTTTATAAAAGAAGCTCAACAAAATTAATATAAAAATAAATAAATCACAACGAGCATCATCGAATATTTTAGTTTAATAATCATGTTAAGTTCATGAAAGATTGAAAAAAAAATTCATTTCAATTTTTTCATGTTTGAAATTATTTTACAATATTTATTAATTTAATCAATTAACATAACTTTCTACCCAAAAAAAAAAAAAAACAATTAATATAACTATGGTCCAATGCAACCAGGTTCCGATACCATGACTTTACGCCTCAATGCAAGGTGCTTCAAATCCCAACCATTGGAAGCATGAGAAGTCAACCCAAACTTAATTGACTAATATAACACAGAAATATCACAATTTTCTTGTATGTACAACACCAAACTACGTTTTCTGTCTCCCAAGAGATTTTTGTATAAACTTATTTTATAAATAACGAATATTATATATGTTAATTATACGTTAACACGTTATTTTAAAGATTTTACTAGAACATTTGTTAAAGAAACAAAAATAAGAAAGATTATTAGAAAAGTAAAAGTTTTTGATTCTCAATGCATTGAATAATTTAATTTCTTAAAAAGTACTCTTAATTAAGGTATTCGTTCGCAAAAATTTTATTTAAAAAAAAATATGTTTTATATAACATAAAATATATAATTAGGTATGATTTTCACCAACAAGCGTCTAAATGCATCGGATAAAACACATTTAATACATTTGTTGTAAAATCGTTTGAATTACTTAAAAGATAATAATAAATGCCTTTGGAAATTTCACTATATCAAACCATATATTTATTATTCAGTACTTATTGTTTTTAATTTTTTATCAATATCTTTTGAACATGCATTGGTTATGGTTAGTATAACAATGTATTAATTAATAAATAATAACTTTTACTAAGGATAAATTTACATAAAAAGTTCTCCCCTAATGCCTATAATTTTTGTTGTGATGTCCAACTTTCTTTTTGTGAGATGCTCCTCATGTCTCAACTCTTGTATTTTTTATATCATTATTTTTCCAAAAAAAATTGTTATATCCTTTTAATTTTGTAATTGGGTAATAGCCCCAGTCCACTCTTTATTGGCAGAGTTAGCATAAGATTTCACCTAAAAATAACAATAATAATAATAATAATAATAATCATAATAAAGTTGGGGCTTCTTTTCTGCCCCTTCAAACTAAAAAAAAAAAAAGTTTTGAAATGCATGCATGTATCAAGTATGGTATTGTTTACGGGTGCTAAACGAGTCAGGGGCCTTTGGCTCGGCTCGTGAAGGCCTGAGCTTTTATGGCTAAAATTGATTGTTGGAACAAGGCTTGGACTTGTATAAAAGCCCGTTTAATAAAAAGGTCTCAGGCTCCAATTTAAAAGCTCGGTCTTAGAGCCTCTCAGGCTAGCCTAATATATTAATTTTTATTTTTATTTTATATTTTTTATACTACTTGTGATAGTCCTCTCTCTCTCCTCAATCCATTTCATCCTATTTTATTAATTAAATAAACTTTTTGAATGATTTTGTTTTATATTATGTTGTTTGGATATACATTAAATTTATGAATATTTATGGAATTACTAATGTTGTTGACTGTATATTTTGTTTGGATAAATTTTTGTTGTCTTATTTTGTTTTAAACAGGCTAAGAGGCTAAACCAGACTTTTATTTTTTGTAAATAAGACAGGCCACAGGCTGAAATTATATTCATAACAGGTAACAGGCTTGGTTAGACTGACACATTTAAACACAGGCTTAGACTTTTAAGACCAAAGCTCGGCTCGGCTCGGCCCGTTAACACCCCTAGTATTGTTAACACTTTTCTAATTAACAATTACATTAGTTACTTGAAAAACTAAAAAAATCACATTAAATATTTTAAATTAAAAAAAAATTCTTTACTTACTTGAATTAATTTAAAAAAAACTATTTCATTAAGTTTTTGAAATGCATGGATCGAATAGTGTAGTGTTAAGATTCTTCTAATTAATAATAACATTAGTTACTAGAAAAACTAAAAATAAAATTACATTAAACATTTTAAAGTTTTAAACAAAAAATAAATTATTTATTTACTTTAATTAATTAAAAAACTATTTGATTAATTTTTTGAAAAGATTATTATCTCTTAGCCATGGCAATAGCCACCCACCACCATGCATGCCAAGACATACTTTCAATAACAAAATAAAAGAAATCAGCTTCACCTCTTCTCACTCTCCAAGTCTCCTATATAAACAAGTATTGGACACAAAATTATTGCATTGGAGAATACAAATAACAAGCAAGATATATAAAAAAGAAATATGGGTGCTTTCACTGAAAAGCAAGAGGCTTTAGTGAAGAGTTCATGGGAAGTGTTCAAGCAAAACATTCCTCACCATAGCATTCTCTTCTACACATTGTAAGTTTTCTATCACTATGTGTTTACCCTTTTTGTTGTTAGTTGTGTTTTGTAAAGAGATTGTGTGAGTATATATATATATAGGGTTTTACTTCTCTCATATTGTATGAGAGAAGCTATCTCATGTTGTGAGATAAATTAAGTGAGACCTGCCAATTTTTTTTTAAAAAAAGAAGAAAAAACACGTCTTTTTATATGAGTGTAAAATGAAATAGGACTCTTACGTAGCATAAAGAGTATAATTTCCGTCTTTCGTCTTTAAAAATAGGATATTGGAGAAAGCACCTGCGGCGAAGGACATGTTTTCGTTTCTAAGGGACTCTGATGAAGTACCTAAGAATAATCCTAATCTCGAGGCCCATGCTGAAAAGGTTTTCGAGCTGGTAAGCGCAATCTAGCATAAAATTATAGCTATTTTATGTGATTTCAAGTTTTTTTTTTCTCCCAATTATTTCACAAGCGCAATGTCAGACGTGTATCTGTGTCTAATACTCTAAGAATATAAATGAACATTTTTTATTTATATTTTATATTTTTATTATTTTTAAATTTTTTTCAAATTTGATGTCAAAAAAAAAAATTAAATAAAGAGTAGTTACAGTACTAGTACTTAAGATTTGATCATAATGCTTGCAATTTTATAAATGGCACTTCGAATTTGTGTTTTATATTAGTTTTGTGGGAAATGAATTACCTTATATTGGTGTAAGGGTAATAAATTTTACATTCATTATTAATGGTGGATTTTTCTTATATCTAACAATTCACTAAATAAATTAGAATAATTAATACAAATAAAATCAATGACTAATAGTGGTTTTAAGAATTATACGCATATAAATTGATAATGTCCATAATTTTATATATTATATTCTAACATATGGCTAGGCTTTTCATCATTTTACTCTGTATTTGTTTTACCCAATTTATCGAATTGCCCACACGTTTTTAACTATTAACGATATTATTTAAAAACAATGATAGAATGGTCAGAAGTTCTAAAGAGGAAAAAATATTAGAAATACAATTTTAGAACTTTCACAAAATCTAAACGTATACGATTTTAGTTCATCACGATAAAGCTTAACAATTCTCTTAATTGTATAACCAGGAAGAAAAATACTAAAAATTAATTTAAATTTGAAAGTTTTTTGTTTTTTTGAATAACTAAGTTTTATCTGTATTGATTCTTTTAAAAGAAATTTAACATTTTAAGCAGAAAAATTATTAGAATAATTTTTAAGGAGATTAAAACATAAAAGGAAATTGTTGAATCTCCTAAAAATGTTTAGGCTAATAATTCTTTTCATTAGCTAAATCAAAATGAATATTTCAAAGTATAAAATAACTGTATTAGTTACTTAAAAAATGAAAATCCTGAATTAACAGGATGTATGAGTTTTTTTATTTTACTTTAACTCATTAGAAAGATGGTTAGTTAAACTTTTAAGTTGATTTAATATTTTTTATATAAATTTCTTGGCATTCTCATATTAGTGATAGTATCATATCCCATTAGTATTTTGTGATTATTATTTTAAATTTTTCTTTGTTACATGATTTTGTTGAAATTGTAGACATGTGAGTCAGCCATTCAACTAAGAGCAAAAGGAGAAGTAGTGGTTTCAGATACCATATTAAAGTATTTGGGTTCTGTTCACGTCCAGAAAGGAGTACTTGATCCCCATTTCGAGGTATGATAAATAATAACATGTTGCAATAGATGCATTCTTAAATTTTGCATGGTTGTAATAATCACGTCTTTGATACTTTAGAAACGCAATAAGTAAGCACCTTCTATCTCATTTTTTTTTTCATTTAAATTATGGCACAACCAATGGTAATAAATAGTTAAGGTAAATTATGATAAGTATATTTTAAGATGAGTATATTAAGTATTAACAATCTTTCTATCTATTACAATGTTCGCTAATTATTTATTATCACTTCTTAATTCTCTCGGAAATCGGAATATTTTGTTCAAGTTAAGCTTTATTTGATTATATTTTATTTATCTATGTCAGAGATAAACTAACAATTAATAATGATTTGTAGGTGGTTAAAGAAGCATTGCTTAAAACAATAAAAGAAGCAATGGGAGAGAAATGGAGTGAGGAATTGAGCAATGCTTGGGAAGTAGCCTATGATGAATTGGCAGCTGTAATTAAGAATGTCATGAGTGCAACTTAGGTTCACTATATAATTTTCATTTCACTAAAACTTGTTAAACAAGTTCCTATCGTAAAGGTTGTTTAAAATAAATTAATTATCGTCTAAATAAACAATCTTAAGTTATTTTTAAATGTGAATTTCAATTTACAGTATGTGCATTCAAAGCTTTTCGATCGAAAACTCTAAATCATGAAACATGTAAGACCAGTCTATTGTGATCGTTGTTTTCTCCCTATAAACATGGGAAAAGCAAGTTTGAAAACCCCTACTTCATGATGGGCATCGTTGGTAGTTTGAGAAACTGATGGATAAGTTTTGTTTATATCAGATTAATTGATGATGTATATAATATCACATAATGCAAAAAATTATGTGGTTATTTAATATAAATAATAATGTTCTTGTTATTAATTAATTTAATTTTACAAATTTTACAAAAATATTGCTGCTGATGGACATTGTTAGTATTTGTTACAGCCTTTGTCAGGTCCATATATAACAGTATTTCTTTTAAATTTATTTTTAATAATAAAAATGATAATATTATTATTTATTATAGTTCGTTTATCCTATTAGTAAAATTTGTTTATTTATTTAACTTATAATTTATAGTATCTATTATTTAGTATTAATATAAGTACTTATTAATTTCCAATGAATATTCTATCCAAAAAATATATAATGAATATATGATAATTAATATTACAAATGAGTAAATCTAAAAGCTAAATCAAATAAGAGGGGTGTATTGAATTAAGATTTTAAAAGACTATTTTGATATAATTTTTTTTTAGATTTTAAAAGACAATATAGAATTGTAGTGACTTTAAAGACTTTTTTTAAAATCAAGATTTTATAAGATTGAATTTTAAAGAATTTTAATAGAATTTAAAAGATTTGAAAGGACGTGATTTATAAGTTTTTAAAAAACCATATGAATTTTTAACGAATATTCAAAAATACCATAGTCAATAAAAAAATAACAAAGAAATGCAATGATATTAATAAAAAAGTAAACCTAATATAATTTTTTTTTAATCAGTAATTTGATATAACTTGATATCCTACTAAGCAATAGCTCTCCACATATCTAAAGCTACACGAGCCCTCCACGCATTAGCATTGTCTTATTCATGCTCTTGGGTTTGACCAATGTGTTGAAAATTATCCTCTTCATTAACTGATGATACTGAAGTTGAAGATGCATGTATTAGTTCAATTGGAAATTCATCTTAGCGACATTCTTTGCGACGAAATTGTGTAGTGCTACACATGCTAACACAAGTATTCTGGTTGGTGAACCGGGGTGTTTCGAAAGAGTTAGTGAGGGTGGATGAGTAATCCTCAAGTGCAAAATTTTAAATTGAAATCTACTTCATATCTCCATTGCTGAGCACACTATTAAGTAAGGTGTCTAAAGCTCAAAAACAACAAAATTAAAATGACTTACAATGCAAAATAGAAAGGAAAAAAAAAGTTCACAACACAAAATAGAGAAGAACAAGAGAACTTAAGCAAATTTGATAACACAAACTTTCGGCTATATTTGTGTGGCAATCTAGAACTAATCCATTGAAGATCACTTCAACATTACAAGCTCCTTGACAACTTGCTCCATGGTAGGGCAAGAGCGTGGGCTTTCATTCAAGCATGCAATTGTTATCCTTGCAATCGCTAATACATCTTTCACAATAGGAATCACTTCATGAGGGAGACGTTGGTCCAACTTATCCATCAATGACATATTATCAATTGTTGAGTCCACAACAATCCATGAAGAAGACATGACATGCTTTCCAAAGAGTATTTCCAATGCTAATACTCCAAAACTATACACATCACATTTCTCATTTACTTCCATTGTGTAACCAAGTTCTGTATCAAATTAACAGAGCTATCATTTACAAAAAAGGAATCAAGAAACTAACATGAGATGTAGATAATTATTAAGTAGTTATGTTCTCAAATTACTAGCAAAGACAAACCACAAAATCATTATATCCTTAATTAGTTTAGAAAGAAAGGGAATTAACCTGGAGCAGCATATCCAAAGGTGCCTGCAAATGATGTCCATTTGGTTGAATTTGGATTGAGGAGCTTAGTTGTTCCGAAGTCAGAGACATGAGCCACATATTCCAAATCCAAAAGAACATTCTTGCTTGATATATCTCGATGAACAATTGGAGGCGAGCAGTCATGGTGCATATAGCATAAAGCATTAGCTACACCTTTAATCACATTTACCCTCCTTTTCCAATCAAATTCAGTTGCTTGTTCACCATTTTTCAAAATCATCTCCACACTACCCTTCTCCAAGAACTCATAAACCAGAAATGAGTATCGTGAATGGGAACAAAACCCATATAACTTAACAACGTTACGATGTCGAATTTCTGTCAAAGCTTGGATCTCACTTGTGAAAGCTTTTAGATTGGAGATTTCTTCATTGGATGCTGAATGAAGTTTCTTCACAACAACAACTTGACCTGTTGGTAACTCTGCTCTGTAAACACTTGTTTGCCCTCCAATTCCAATGAGATGTTTGTTGTCAAACTCTTCTGTGGCTTCAATAATGTTCTCATACACCATTTTTCCATCAAAACTCCATATTGAAAATAGATTTTGAGGTTGTGATTATGCAGCTTGGTTTTCTTTTGTGCTTGAAGATCGGTAAAGATGACAAGAGACTACGATAACAAATAATACTAATAGTAGAATGCCCAATGTAAGGGGTAGAACTACTAATATGACTTTGTTAGTCTTATGATGATGAAAGCTACCACTTGATGAAGGACAAGGCTCCAAGCCAGAGATATTACCACACAAGCCACTATTATTTCTCAAAGCTTCAATTGTTGCATTATGAAAGGCTGGAATGTTTGGAAGGGGACCTTGTAATTGGTTGTATGATATATCAACAGATGTCAAGCTTAACATACCTTCAAAGCTAGAGGGAATGATACCAAAAAGATTACTGTGTGAGAGATTCAATATTTCTAAATATTTCAGCAATCCAAGCACTGTTGGTATTGTTCCGCCCAAAAAATTCCCACTAAGATCAAGACTTCGGAGAACTTTGAATTGGCCAAACTCAACAGGAATATTTCCTTTAAAATTATTTTGGCTCAAATTTAAGTTCAACAACTTATGCAACCTTACAAGATGCTATGTGATGAAGCCACTTAAATTATTCCCTGCAAGCTCCAAGGTATCAAGTTCGGGCAATGATATTATTTGCACAGGAACATTTTCTGAAAGATGATTGTTGCTTATCAAGAGTTTGATCAATGAAGTCAATTTACCTAACTCATTTGGAATTTTTCCTGTGAGATGGTTTGAAGATAAGTCAAGTACATGTAAGTTGATTGCCTCGCCTAGTTCTGGTGGTATGGCACCTGATAAATTATTGTTGGAGATCTTAAGGCTTGTGAGGCTATAACACTTTCCCCAATTTGGTGAAAGGTGACCATAAAAATTATTGTCACTCAATTCGATGTAGTCTAAATTTGGATATACACCAAATTCATCTGTTATATTTCCACTCAGTTGATTTTGTTGAAGTTGAACTCTTCTTAGCCTAGAGCAATTCTTAAAACTCTTTGGAATGGGGCCAGTAAAATGGTTATTTGCAATAGTGAAGTTTGTCAACTTTCCGCTAATGCAAATGTTATGAGGCAAATGACCAGTAAAATGATTATCATCTAACATCAAACTTTCCAAATTTGTAAGCATGTTCATTTTTATTGGAATGTTCCAACTGAGTTTATTAAAGTGTAAAAATAATATACTGATCTTTGTCAAATTTCCAATAGTGGAAGGAATTGGTCCAAAGAGTTTATTTCTATTAAGGGCAACTGATTGCAAATGAACCAAATTACCAATTGAGGATGGTATTGGTCCAGTAAGTTCATTTAAGAATAACTGTAACAAAGTGACCTTTGTTAAATTTCCAGTAGTGGAAATAATTGGTCCTGAGAGTTTATTTTTAGAAAAGTTAACTTTCTCCAAATTAGCTAAATTACCAATTGATGGTGGTATTGACCCGATGATTGCATTTGAGTGCAAATATAATAAACCGACCTTTGTCAAATTTCCAAAAGTGGAAGGAATTGAACCAGTGAGATTGTTGCCATTAAGGTAAAGATATTGTAAATTGCTCAAGTTTCCAATTGAAGAGGGGATTGTACCAGAAAGAGAGTTAATGGACAAATCTAGATATGACAAGTTGACCAACTTTCCTACAGAAATTGGGATAGACCATGTGAGATTGCAATCCCAAAGAGAGAGCTCTTTTAGATTTCCCAACTTTCAGAGTTCTTGAGGGATAGGACCGGAAAGACCACTTTGACCAAAATCTAGAGTCTCTAGCTTCTGCAACTTCACAATTTCATGGGGAATGGAACCATTAAATTGATTTGCTCCAAATTCCAAATACTTTAAGTTGTGCAAATTCCAAATTTCATTTGGAATTTTGCCAATAAGGTTGTTGCCTCCTACATCAAAATGTGACAAGAGGACTAGATTCCCAATAGAACTTGGGATAGTTCCAGTGAGATGATTGTCTCTGAGATCAAGATAAGAGAGTTTGGACAACACAATAATTTGGGGAGGAATACTTCCATTCAAGGAGTTGAGACTCATATCTAGAGTGAAAATGTTTGGAAGTAAAGTGAAGTTAAGACATTGAAGCATACCTCTTAATCCAATATTTGTAAGATTAATGTTGGAGACAGACATGGAAAAGTCACACTAAATTCCGAGCCAATTATTGCAAGGACTATTGCCAGTCCATGAAGATAGCAAAGCATGGCTTTGGTTGTAGTGAAGGCTGGCTTTCCATTTCAACAAAGCATTTGCTTCTCTACTTTGTAATGTGGCTGAAGCTGCAGCAATATCAGAAGAAAAGGCCATTAAGAATGCACAAAAGAACATTACAAGAAGCTTCCAAAACGGTATGAGCTTCATGAACTGAAGCATTGGAAAAATCAACATAATGGCGGGTATAAGTTGAAATATTC